ATTCCATATCTTTGCTATTGTGAATAGTGCTGCAATGAACATATGAGTGCATGTGCCTCTTTTGTAGAATGATTATTTTCCTTTGGGCATATACCCAGTAGCAGGATTGCTGAATCAAGTGGTAGTTCTGTTTTAAGTTCTTTGAGAAATCACCAAACTGCTTTCCATGGTGGCTGAACTAATTTACATTCACACCAACAGCATATAAACATTCCTTTATCTCTGTAACCTCACCAACATGTTATTTTTTGTCTTTTGATGTATATATATATATATGTATGTATTTTTTTTTTCTCTTTTTCTTTTTTTTGAGACAGAGTCTTTCTCTGTCACTCAGACTGGAGTGCAGTGTTGCAATCATGGCTCACTGCAGCCTCAAACTCCTGGGCTTTAGTTATGTATATATTTTTATATATATATACAGGTGAAAAAAATGTGTGTGTGTGTGTGTGTGTGTGTGTGTACACACATATAGGCTATTTGAATTTAAAATATATGGATATATATATACACACATATATACATATTTTAAATTCCAAAAACCTTGATGGTGTTTGAAGGTAGACTCCTGAGGACTCTAGGGAAGGAAGGGGTTAAACAAGGCACTGGGCAAGCGTGGGGGCAGACTTCTCATTAGGAAATCTGGTATTTCAGGTTGGACCGGACTTTGGAGATGGCTGCTCCTTTGTTCAAGAGAAAAAATGTTTTAGATCTGTCTGCGCTCTCAGATGTGAAGTACAAAATGAATTCTAGACTTTTCTAGCATCAGGAAAGTGAAGCGGGGGCCTTGCAGTAACTTGAACAGACTTTACCCTGGGAATCCCAGACAGAAGCCGCCCCAATTCCCTAAAATATGCACAATTACAGCTGTGGCAGCTGACCCTAGGAAGGCCCAGCTTCACCGTGAATCCGTGCAGTTGGAAATAACCTTCAAAACTTGAAGACAGATTCAACAAACCTTTGGGTGTACATCTATTTTTGTACACAGAGCCGTTTATTTACTGTGAGATTACTGTGAGATTTCACATTTTCTGAGATAAATTCCTAAGTAACAGTGATATTGACATTGACATTGCCAGGTTTACTTTCACATGATTTTGTTTTCCTACTTTCCATATTTATTTATGTTTCTCCAATGACCAGCACCTACCCTGTAGATTCCTTCTTGCAGCAATTTTTTTTTAGTTGCTTCATTTAACCTGTGACTAATTGGTTAAAGAAAAACAACATGTACTCATAGTATTTACAAGTACATTTCGTTCTAGGCCAGATAAAAAGGAGTAAATTACACTGTTCATTCCTGTCATTTTTTTGTCCCTCCCTTTCCTTCAAAGTTATAAACAAAATTCACATGCAAAGTTCTTAATGACTTAATAGTGTCCCGAGTGTTTATTTAGGTTTATTTTATTTTATTTATTATTATTATTATTATTTTTCTTGAGACAGAGTTTCGCTCTTGTTACCCAGGCTGGAGTGCAATGGCGCGATCTCGGCTCACCGCAACCTCCGCCTCCTGGGTTCAGGCAATTCTCCTGCCTCAGCCTCCTGAGTCGCTGGGATTACAGGCACACGCCACCATGCCCAGCTAATTTTTTGTATTTTTAGTAGAGACGGGGTTTCACCATGTTGACCAGGATGGTCTCGATCTCTTGACCTCGTGATCCACCCGCCTCGGCCTCCCAAAGTGCTGGGATTACAGGCTTGAGCCACCGCGCCCGGCCTATTTTTTTTTTTTTAAGGAAAATTTGCATTAATTATTTTTAGTTACAGAAACAGTGTACATTTAACCCAGTTTTGTGGCAAGTTCTTTAGCCTTTGCCTTTTTTAGCTTGGCGATGTGAGCCATAGACTTGGGACCCAGGACATTGCCTCCCCAGTGAGGGCAGATCTCACCATATCTGTCATTGTAGTTGGTGCGGATAGCTTCCACCAGCTTAGCCAAAGCACCTTTGTCTTCCGAGTTAACGTGTGTGAAGGCGACAGTGGCACAGGTCTTCCTATGGACTAGACGTCCCAGTCTTGCCTTTCCCTTGATGATGCAGTAAGGGACTCCCATTTTATGACAGAGGGCAGGCAAGAAGACAACGAGCTCAATGGGATCCACATCATGAGCAATCACCACCAGCTGTGCTTTCCTGTTCTCCACCAAGGTGGTGACGGTGTTGACTCCTGCTTGGAGTACAGGTGGTCTCTTCGTGGGGACGTCCCCTTTGCCAGCCGCTTTCTTCTCAGCCCGGGCCAGCAGCCCCTGCTTCTTCTCTTGCTTCGTCTCTGGTGTGTACTTGTGGGCCAGCTTAAGCAGCTGAGTAGCTGTTTGGCGGTCCAGGGCCTGGGTGAACTGGTTAATTGCAGGGGGCACTTTCAGCCGCTTATAGAGGATGGCTCTCTGCCGCTGCAACCTGATAGAGCGGGGCCATTTCACAAAGCGGGTGAGGTCTCTTTTGGGCTGGATGTCTTGTCCAATGCCAACATTTTTAGGCCTTTTCTCAAACATGGGATTCACCACTTTCTTGGCCTCCTGCTTCTTCATGACAGCAGGGGCTGGAACCACCTTCTTCCCCTTGGCCTTCTTTCCTTTCGGCATCTTGGGCAGTAGGAAGAGAGCTATTTTATTTATTTTTTGAGACGGAGTCTCGCTCTGTCACCCAGGCTGGAGTGCTGTGGGGCGATCTCAGCTCACTGCAACCTCTATCCTCTGCGTTCAAGCAATTGTCCTGCCTCAGCCTCCCAAGTAGCTGGGATTACAGGCACCCACCACCATGCCTGCCTATTTTTTTTTGGATTTTTAGTAGAGACAAGATTACGCCAGACTGGTCTTGAACGCCTGACCTCAGGCGATCTGCCCACCTCGGTCTCCCAAAGTGCTGGGATTACAGGCGTGAGCCACCACACCCAGCCTATTTAGGTTTATTTTGAATTAAATTGATTGGTTGGTTCCTTTAGGAATTTATCTACTAAGCGCAAACTTACCTTTCATTCATGTGTGTATTATGCTGTAACTATTTTCAGATTCCATATTTGCATGTGTTCTCACCAGTCAGGTTATGACTTCTCAAGTCCTTCAGTCTATTCGTAACTTAGAAAAGGGAGAGAAAGTAGAAGGAACTGATTGGGAAGGAGATCAGTTCCAGTGCGATTGGTAAACCTGGGATGTAAATGAAACAACAAAGTTGTGATTTGGCAAGTTGTGAAATGGAAAGAGCAGTGGACTACAAGTCTGAAAACCTGGGTTCTAGGCATGGCACTCTCCTGATCAGCTGTGTGAAATTGCACGATTTCAATTAACCTGAGTCCTTGTTTTCTTCACTTGTAAAATGAGCATTATCACCCCCGTCTGGCCATTTCCCTAGGATCACTGTGAGATGCTGTATGTAGGCAAAATCACTTTGTGAACTCCAAAGCTTTTTATGAAAGTAGACCTGAGTAGCTAGGACCACAGACACACGCCACCACGCTCACTAACTTTTGGATTTTTAGCAGAGATGGGGTTTCCATGTTGGCCAGGCTGGTCTTAAACTCCTGACCTCAAGTGATCCACCTGCCTCCGCCTCCCAAAGTGCTGGGATTACATGTATGAGCCGCCGTGCCCGGCCTCTTGCTATATTTTAATATCTCCTCTAAACCAGACTGTAAGCTCCGTGAAAGCAGGGGCACACCTCACCTGCCCACTTTGACACTCCCGGAACCTGCCAAGCACAGGGCACCTCATGTAGGAGGCAGTGTGTTGATCTAGGAGAGGTCCTGCCACCCAGCCTGTATGACTCCATTCATTCATTCATCCTCCACTCTGTGTGACATTCTGCTCAGGGCACTGGGACACAGCAGCGTATCCACAGCCACAACTTCTTGCCCTTGTGGAGTTTACATTCCATTAGAGGCAGATGGATTATAAATTAAGAAAAATATGTAGTGTGACATGTGAGAGGGAATTTTCTTCAATTTATATACGTAGTAAGGAAATCCCACATATCTCCCCAAAGAAATGGAAATTCGAATTGCCCTTTTGTATAGAATTCCACGTTAGCCCCTTCCTGCTGCCACACAGCAGAATCCACTGAATTCCATTTCTCCTGCAGTAGACAACAACTCAGCTTCCACTTTAGAACCAATTACGTTTTCCATGACCGGTGCTTGCTTCATTATACAGGAAACTTTTTGTTTGTTTTTGAGACAGAGTCTGTCTGTGTTGGCCAGGCTGGAGTGTAGTCATAGGATCCTGGCTCACTGCAGCCTCTGCCTCCTGGGTTCAAGTGATTCTCCGGCCTCAGCCTCCTGAGTAGCTGGGACTACAGGTACGCACCACCATGTCTGGCTAATGTTTGTATTTTTTGTAGTTTCACCATGTTGGTCAGGCTGCTCTTGAACTCCCGACCTCAGGTGATTCGCCTGCCTTGGTCTCCAAAGTGCTTGGATTACAGGCGTGAGCCACCATGCCCGGACAATGAGTAAGCTTTTTGAGTCGACGTACTATGACTTTTTTTCTTGGCACAGAGTCTCTGTGTGTCAAGAGAGACCGGAGTGCAGTGGCATGATCTCGACTCACTGCAACCTCTGCCTCCTAGGTTCAAGCAATTCTCCTGCCTCAGCCTCCTGAGTAGTTGGGATTACAGGCGTGTGCCACCATGTCCAGCTAATTTTTATTTTTGTATTTTTAGTAGAGACAGAGTTTCACCATGTTGGCCAGGCTGGTCTTGATCTCTTGACCTCAGGTGATCCACTTGCCCTGATCTCTCAAAGTGTTAGGATTACAGGCATGAGCCACCGCATCCAGCACAGGCATGCATTCTTCTGAAGGCCAGTTTACTCTGTTCCTACAAGGTCATAGCTGGAATCTGGGTGGTTTCCAAAGAGAACTGATGGTTCCCTGGTGAAGCTATTATTGATGGCTCTCTTGAAATCAAGAGAGGGGTGTAGGAGCAAAGGGAATTTCCTTTCCCCATTTTTGAAGATTTGATCATTTGAGTCTACGAAATAAACCGATAATAGACGGGTTAATAGGACAATGGCTTACAAATTTATTCTGTGCACGTGCACATGGGAGCCACACAAATATGACACTCAAAGGACCAGAGGACTGCGGCTTTTATACCCTGCAGAGAGGACTGGATGCCTGGAGCTCCAGGCGGGAGGCGGTGACAGGTCATGGGGGCCGCAAGGAGGAAAGGCGTGGGTGGGCAAAGGCTGTCTTGTGATGCAGGTGAGTCTTGCACAAATCATCCCTGGAAAGAATGGCTGGTAGCCTACAGTCAAATTTCCTCTGTTAGAACCTTAGTCTTCTCCTTCTGTGAGTTCACCTTTCCTGGATCTGAATAGGGAGACAAAGAGATTGACAGAGGAGTTAAGAAGACATTATTTAGGCAGATACTGAGGGTAAGAGAGTCCTCAGCAGAATTTCCTTTAATTAAAAGCAGGCATGTACCACTTTTTATTATTAAATCATTTCTTTTCTAACAAAAAACAGCCTGAAAAATCCAGCTGCAAACATAGATAAGCAAGCTGGAAGCTTGCATGGGTAAATGCCAGCAGCTGTGCCAATAGAAAAGGGATACCCAGAAGCCAGGTATGTTCAACAGGGAGGCTCTCTTCCCTTTTCTTTGTCGCCACGTGTGTAGTAAAGAAGCAGGCTACATGGTGCTGGCCAGATAGAGACCCTACCTGCATAATAAAAGACCCCTACCTGCATAAGGGGTCAGGCACGGTGGCTCATGCCTGTAATCCCAGCACTTTGGGAGGCTGAAGTGGGTGGATCACCTGAGGTCATGAGTTCAAGACCAGCCTGGCCAACATGGTGAAACCCCCTCTGTACTAAAAATACAGAATTAGCTGGGCAGGGTGGTGCATACCTGTTATTTCAGCAACGTGGGAGGCTGAGGCAGAAGAATTGCTTAAACCTGGGAGGCAGAGGTTGCAGTGAGCCAAGATTGTTCCACTGCACTCCAGCCTGGGTGACCGAGCAAGACTCTGTCTGAAAAAAAAAAAAAAAAAATTAAGGTGGGGTGGCTAGCTTCTTTGCGTGCTATGTGAATGGCTCACATGGTCCAACCAATCCTTTGTGCCTGTGTAAATCAGACACCGCTTTCTCAAGGTCATCTATAAAACCAAACGCATCTCATGATGAACCTGGAGAGTCACTCGGAATCCCTCCCCTCTGCACGAGGGAGCTTTTCTCTTTTTCCTATTAAACTTTCACTCTTAAACTCACTTCTTATGTGTCTACGACTTTGATTTCCTTGATGTGAGGCAATGAACCTCGGGTATTACCCCAGACAAATGATGCCTCAGATGTGTATTCTGTTTACAAAAGGATAGCTTTTCAGACATATTCCAGTCTGTAGCTTCTCTGAGTAATCAACTTGAAATATGCTAGAGAACTATGTTTCGGAGTGGCATGTTTTGATTTCTTGCAGGACTGAGTATTAGTTTATGTTTTCTCTGGCTTATAGAGTTCTCTCTCAGTCCAGTAGTGTTTGGTGAGGTACGAATTTTTATATTGACTGTATGGATATCAACGATTATATGAAAGTTATGATGTTGTCCTGATAGGACAAGGTAAGATGGCCACTCAACTAGCTAACACTAACTCATTCTGTAGCCTGAATTTCAAACTTATTGGCTCTGCAGCATTCACAGGAGACAAGAAATACGTGAAAATGGCCAGGTTCAGTGGCTCACGTCTGTAATCCCAGCGCTTTGGGAGGCAGAGGTGGGCGGATCACTTAAGGTGAGGAGTTTGAGATCCGCCTGGCCAACATGGTGAAACCCCTGTCTCTACTAAAAATACAAAAAGTAGCCAGGTGTGGTGGCACGAATCTGTAATCTCAGCTACTTGAGAGGCTGAGGCAGGAGAATCGCTTGAACTTGGCGAGGGGAGGTTGCAGTGAGCCCAGATCCTGCCATTGTCTTCCAGCCTGGGTGATAGATTGAGAGTCCATCTCAAAAAAAGATAAGGAAAAGAAAAGAAATGTCTGAAAATGGCATTTTAAAAGTTGTTGCTTCTCCAGTCATATATTTTTGTCAAGCTTTGTGTTACAAAACAGAGTCAAAACCTAGTAGTATCGTTTTCAGCAGGGGGTGAGGGGAGGGGGTGGAAAGTGATAAGTGAGACTAGAGGAAAGGTTTTGAAGGACAGAAAAGCACAGATCCTTCCTAGACCTCCCCTGGCTCCAGGATGGAAAATGACTTGGCAGGGGCCCTTTTTGTGCGGGCCAGAAGGGAATTTGTTTCCCAGCTGTTCTGGTGTATTTTCCTTGTTAGTCTTTGCTCCCACGGTCTAAGAGCAAATACCGGATCTTCGCGCCTACAGCACTGGTCAAGAGCTGCCGCTTCGGTCCTGTGTGACTCACAGCTGTCGGTGAACCACCTACTGTAACTGCTGGCTAGGCACCACGGCCCTGCGGCCCAGCTGCGTCTTCTTAGCTTCACCTTGCTGGCCTTGCTCTTGACCTGAAATTACCATCACCTTGTTGGGTTAGTAAAAGTGGGGCTTAGACATAGATACTTTTATTCATTTTTCTTTCTTTCTTTCTTTTTCTGAAAGTGAAGTCTCAGTCTGTTGCCCAAGCTGGAGTGCAATGGTGCAATCTCGGCTCATTGCAACCTTTGCCTCCCGGGCTCAAGTGATTCTCCTGCCTCAGCCTCCCGAGTAGCTGAGACTACAGGTACACGTCACTGTGCCTGGCTAATTTTTGTATTTTTAGTAGAGACGGGGTTTCACCATGTTGCCCAGGCTGGTCTTGAACTCCTGACCTTGAGATCCACCCGCCTTCACCTCCCAAAGTGCCAGGATTACAGGCATGAGCCATGACACCTGGCCCATTTTTCTTCAACTGTATTTCTCAATCACCACTCAAAGATCTTGGAAGATGTAATGAATCTCAACATCAAATTAGAATTCTCGGAGACCAAGTCAATAGATTATGTCATTGTATAAAATTCCACTACACACCGTTTGGTGTATAAATGGCTCATTACTTGAAGAAGAAAGGTTATGGCTAATCTGAGGCTTCGTTATTATTTGCTCCTATTCTGTGATAAGGAGCTGCCTTTAGAAAAACTGGTTCCGTGGTAGGATCATGGTGGGTGACCTCCGGCCTCTCTCCCTCTGCTCTCTGCTGTAGCTTTCTTCTGCTCTAAGGCTTATTCCCACAGCTTCACTAGAGACAGATAAAATACCGTTCCCACCCTCAGAAGGTTTCCAAACCAGTTGTGGATACATAGGAGAATCATAAAATCACACAAGTACAAATAAAAGGCAGTTTCAGAGAAAGTACACATTACTTTTTGCCTCAGCTTGTATTAGTCCGTGTCTTTATCAGCCTAGAGTTTTACTTCGTTTTATTTTATTTTTTGAGGTGGAGTCTCTCTCTGTCACCAGGCTGGAGTGCAGTGGTGAGGTCTGAGCTCACTGCCACCTCCGCCTCCCGGGTTTGAATGATTCTTCTGCCTCAGCGCCCCCGAGTAGCTGGGACTACAGATGCCTGCCACCACACCTAGCTAATTTTTGCAGTTTTAGTAGAGACAGAGGTTTCACCATGTTGGCCAGGATGGTCTCGATCTCCTGACCTCGTGATCTGCCTGCCTCAGCCTCCCAAAGTGCTGAGATTACAGGCGTGAGCTATTGCTCCCGGTCTCATTTTATTATTTTAAAAAAGAAAATTGTTCTGCTGGACTAGAAATACCTTGATGCCAGAGCGCGCGTTATGTTCATCTTTTGATCTCGTCTCTATTCTAGCCCACCCAGGCCCCACACAGGACACGGCAGACAGGAGACTGCCTGGTAAGCATTTGCTGACATCCCTGAATCAGGGAAGGCGTTGTTGAAAAGGTAGAGCTTGAGCTCTGTTTTTAAATAGAGAGAGGCAGTTGGTGCCGACACACTCCTCATCTATGAGTCATTTGTTCTGGGCCGAGAGGACGAATTTGAAAACTCAGAATAGAGTGGGGAAGAATGGCAGGTTGGCAGAATGATTAGAACAGAGCTGGGTGTTAGTTTGATAGAATACGGAGTCAGAAAGGAGGCCAACCAGCCCGGAGCCAAGACGCTGTTTTGCAGAATAATTGGGATATTATGAGCTATTATGGTGGCTAGATGCAGGAGGAGGGTCTTCCTGGGTTGGAATGTTTGTGGAAGTTAACAGCATTTCTTCTCCTCTCTGTTTCATGCTGAGGACACCATCAGCCTCTTCACTGGTCCCTTAGCACATGTCGTCCCTTCTTGGTGGTGGGAAGGGTGGGATGGGGAGAGGGGGGCTGTCCGTATGATTTCCTTGTTCCTTTCTTTCTTCAACGTGCGTCAGTGTTATTGATTATTTTGTTCCGGGATTGGTTTGTTCTCAGGAAAGATGTTGAGTGCATTTGGAAAAACTATGAGAAAATTAGATTGAGCAAATAAAGTTTTTCCATTGTGGGAAGAATCCTGATGACTTTATGGAGACGTCATGGATGAACAAGATGACCTCTTTAATAAAAACAGATACGGAGTTTCGGGTGACAGCTTGAAAAACAGATGCCTAGCTTCGGGCAACAGCGTGAGCTAGAGGCAGCAGGTAGAAACGGCAAGTTTGGGGAAATAAGTAAGTTTCTTTGTTGACAGGGCTTGTGAGACATCTAGAAGAGAGAGCGAACCTGCGTGGGAAATCGGGCCTTGAGCTCCAGAGAAGTCAGCACAGACATGGAGATTTAGCCAAAAAAGCGGCTGCGTAACGTGGGTGGCAGTTGAGAGGCACAGGCTGCAGTGAGCCAACATCGCACCACTGCACCAGCCTGGGTGACAGAGCAAGACCGTCTTAAAAAACAGTGTGGGTGATGGTGCAAGTCAATGAGGCCCTCCACTGGAATCTGCTGTGGCCTGGGTGACAGTGTCCAGGGCTCCATAACCCCCAGCAATTAGAAGCAGCTGGGCCCAGTGGCTCACACCTGTGATCCCAGCGCTTTGGGAGGCTGAGGTGGGTGGATCACCTGAGGTTGGGAGTTTGAGACCAGCCTGGCGAATATGGCGAAACCCCATCTCTACTAAAAATACGAAACTTAGCCGGGCATGGTGGTGTGTGCCTGTAATCCCAACTACTTGGGAGGCTGAGGCACGAGAATCGCTCGAACTCGAGAGGTGGAGGTTGCGGTGAGCCGAGATCGCGCCTCTGCCCTCCTGTTTTTTGCCTGGGCTGTTGTTGCTGTGGTGCCCAGGCTGGTGCAGTGGTGCGATGTTGGCTCACTGTTGCCCAGGCAACAACAACAAAAAACTGAAAAAAAGAAGCAGCAGCAGCAATTAGAAGCAATGTTTTCTGTGCATTTCCATGTGGCGTGCTATGATGGAGTGCATCCTGACTTGTGATCAGATTCTCAGCGGTTTCCAAAGGTTAAAAAATTGGTATCATAGAATGAGAAGATAGAAGCAAGAAGGTCAGGACTTGGGGCCGACTGGGGGGGTCAGAATTTAAAGAGTAAGAAGAGGGGAGCCGAGGGAATGGTGTCTTTAAGTTGGACAGGATTGAAAGAACACGCTGGGTTGACCATTAGAAGGTTATTAGTGATAAGCAGAGGATGGGAACTAGGGAGTAGGGACAGCTAGTCTAGACATTTTATTTCTGGGAGCTTAACATTTGACCAGAGTGAATGCTTGCTGAGTTCCTAAGAAGGGCCAGACACGGTGTCACTTGTTGTAGACATAAATGTGGGCAAAGATGACATCGGTTTTGCACTCATAGATCTTAGGGTCTTGTGGGAGAGAGAGGCGCTGATCAAATAATGACACAAAGGAAGCGATGGCAGCCTCACAAACTGGGTCAGCGCTTCGCGGGGAGAAACATGGCATGGCACGGGAACATCCATGATCTGGGGGTCCAAGAAGGCTCCCTGAGGCTGCAAGCGCAACCCTGAGGGGTGGATAGGAGTGATGTGGTCGGCAGGGGGAGGGGAGGTTGGGGGCAGAGATCAGAAGAGTCCAGGTCACAGGACAGCAGGTGCAGAGCCTTGTGAATGTGGAGCCAGTGAAAGGGATAGTGGCAGGAGGCCAAGCAGGGTCTTCTCTCTCAGAAGGATTTGGGTCTAAGGATAATTAGGAAACCTCTAATGTTAGGTGGTGTAACATTTGCATTTTGGAATAAAGTAGAAGAGTCTAGGTGATCGTGATAGCTTGGACCAGGATCCTGGCAACGAAGGTGAAAAGAAGCAGTTGGATTCCAGGACAGTGCAGAAGCTAACGTTAGCCCCAGAAGGCAGGAGGGAAGGAGAGAGGGAGCACAGTAGTTGAGAGAGGTTGGTAAGACACAAAGGTTTTTCTTCAGGTGCAGAACACTTGAGCTCACTCGTAGGCAGAGAGAAAGAGCAATGGAGAGAGAGAACTCAAAGTAAGAGCTAGTGGGGAATATATATATCCTGGAATCAGAAACGCTGACCCTCTGAGGTGAGAAGAAAGGGCCGGTGACTACGTAGGTACATTTATAAGGGGGAAGGAGGGAATTTGAGATTTGAAGTGTTGATCCACAAAAGGGGGCTCAGATATGTTCATGAGTGAGGCCATGATCCCCTAAGTAATGGGGTAGCACCAGGCTCTGAAGGAAGAGCAAGAAGCTGGGAGATGTTAACAAAGGGCCATAGAGTTGTTTAGAACATGGGAGAGGATGAAACTTATTTTTTCTCTTTTGAGATGGAGTTTAGCTCATTTTGCCCAGGCTGGAGTGCAATGGTGCAATCTCGGCTCACCGCAAACTCTGCCTCCCAGGTACAAGCGATTGTCCTGCCTCAGCTTCCTGAGTAGCTGGGATTACAGGCATGCACCACCACACCTGGATAAATTTGTATTTTTGGTAGAGACAGGGTTTCTCCATGTTGGCCAGGCTGGTCTGCAACTCCCTAGCTCAGGTGATCTGCCTGCCTCGGCCTCCCAAAGTGCTGGAATTACAGGCGTGAGCCACTGTGCCTGGCTTAGAATGAAATATTTTTGTGCATATATTGTATGTAAGTTATTTGTGCATATGCACAAACATTGCATAATCCTCACAGCACCTGGCAGAGTCCACATTTCAATTTGATAGTCGGAAACGAGAGTCAGGGAGTTGTGAATTTCCAAATGTTGAAGCAGGCGTCTTGAGCACTGTGGAGTCATCTTTCTCCTGGATTCGTGAAGCAGTTCGCCCTCCTGTTGGGATCAGGGCTGGTTGCATAGATCTGCCCAGCGAATGGCTTCATGACTTAGGAAAACTGGATAATTTTCTCATAAACTAGGCATCTACACAGGTCTGTGTTTCAAATGGCATCTTAATTTGTATTTTATACTCACAATGTAGTCCAGCCATAGAAATACCTATAAAACATACCAGTTTTCTAAAACATACAGTAGGCTGGGCGTGGTGGCTCACGCCTGTCACCCCAGCACTTTGGGGGGCCAAGGTGGGTGGATTTCTTGAGCTCGAGTCAGCTTGGCCAACATGGCAAGACCCTGTCTCTACAAAAAGTACAAAAATTTGCTGGGCGTGGTGGTGCATACCTATATTACCGGCTACTCGGGAGGCTGAGGTGGGAGGATCACTTGAGCCCAGGAAGCCGAGGCTGTAGTGAGCTATGATCATGCTACTACACTCCAGCCTGGGCATCAGAGCAAGACCCTGTCTCAAAATTTAAAAAAGATAAAAATGGAAAAATGTACACTTTTTAAAAAAACTTTAGCAACAAGGAGTGAGGAATGGTATGTCAGATCTATTATACTAAGCATGCTTATTTATTTCCTAATTCAGAAAAAGAATTAGAGTTGAATTGACCTTTTCAAGAATTATCCAAAGGTATTAATGTTTATCTTCCTCTCCCCTCCTTAAAATATCACAATGGAATATCTGTTAGATGGAGTTTTCTCCGAAACTTGCTTTAAACACACCAGATTCTTATTGCAGAACCTCTGGCTTCACATGCTTCTGATGGCTCCTATTCTTTTCCAGGCTGCATGAATACAGTTTTGTCACAAAATTACTTGTCTAAGATGCCTATTCTTTGAAGATGGGAGGGAGGAGAGTGACTTAAGCGTGTCATGTTAAACTATAAAGGAATAATACGAACTGGGCGAGGTGGCTCATGCCCGTAATCCTGGCACTTTGGGAGGCTGAGGCAGGAGAATTGCTTGAACCTAGGAGACAGAGTTTGCACTGAGCTGAGATCACCACGCCACTGCACTCCAGCCTGGGCAACAGAGTGAGACTCCGTCTCAAAAAAAAAAAAAGGAATAGTAAGGACCTGGCTGGAGCCATGGCCCCGAGGTAAATGCAGCTGGAATAGTTTTCAGTTCAACCCTTGGCAAACCTTCAGTGTTTATAAAATAAATAAATAAATAAAAGCCATGGAGGAGGCTGAAAAGCTATGCTCAGCAGTCATTGCCCTATCTCTCAGGATTGGCAATAAACAGCAGGTCTGCTCCACGCCCTGTTAAGGGGCAGTGAGCTCTGGGAAGAAGCTAGTATTATTCAGTGAGTTAATACGTCCCAGCTACAGGGGTTGCACATTGTAAGTATTCAGTGAATATCAGCTATTATTGTTTTTAAAAAATTGTTATTATTTAGAATTATGCACTTCTGAAGATTCCATCTGAAACCCTAAGCATTCTTTTCATTTACAAAATAAAGCGCATACAGAATTTTGAGGCGTGCTTGCAAAGGATGACAGAGAAATGTCCTAGCACAGTCCTGGAACCCCCTGTGAGTATGAACCACATCTCCTTCTCGACACACGTGGTTTGTCAGGTCTAGACCAAGATATCGAAGTGTTATACTCTACAAGTTAAAAGAAGAACATGCATCACTGTGAAAGTATTTTTTTAATTC